TTTACTACTTTTATCTTTAAAATTATTGAATTTCGTTCTCATCGAATTTTAAAATTTGAAAAAGTTGAAGAGATAATAATTTAAAACGACATTATATTTGTATAAAAAATGTGTCGCATGACATTTAATTGTATATTTTAATATTTTGATCTCTGCCAATTTAAATTATTAATTTTTTAAATATACATATGTATATATATATATATATATACACACATTCGTCTATATGATAATGGTAATAATAAAAATATAAGACAATCGAGAAATGTTTTGTTTCGTAAAGTTAATCGAAAATTTCTACACATGTACTTTACTATTAAAATTGACTGAAAATAAACAATAAAGTTTATTAATTTTACTTTTTGTCTTTATCGCTTGATAAATCTATATCCAGACTTATAACTATTCATTACAATTAATTTCAATTGTGAAAGCGGCGGATCCATACCACATTCAAGTACGTTTGCTGCGTTATCTTCGGAATACTGTTCATATTCAATTCATATTCAATTGTTCGAGTTCAAGGAGGTGGAAACTTTTCATGTAAAGTGCGTGTCACGTTTCGCCTGAATTAAAAATTCACTTTTACGCGAATTTAGATGTTTGAGAATCTCTCAACAAGAATTTTTCATGGCAATAATTCTCCTTACGATTCCCTGTCACGGAAATCACAGGAAGAAGTCTATGTTGAATGATATAATATTTGCATAACTGTAAGCACTTGAGTTTTATATATATCGTAAAATTAGGTGAGTTTGCATCACGGTGAGAAAGAGATTTCGGAACATTTCGTACTCTGACATGCTAGATTTACTTTATTTAATTATATGTTTCACTCTTAATGACTGTTGTTTATCTACAAATGCTGTAATATTTATATATATTTATATAAACCAATATAATTTTAAAACTATATTCTCCTTAGATGCAAACCATCCTATGGTAAGTACAGAAAATCTTGCATTGATTCGTTATAATTTTTGTTGTGAAGAAACTAATTATTTCCACGCAAAGGAAAGAATGGTTGTTCTTGTCCTCGCTTATAGTAGTATGTGTTTGTATGGTATGCCTATCAATTTATAGGGAAATAAAATAGCAGTTGTTAGCGACAAATTACAGTGAGCAATTTTCTGGTTTCATCATAAATTTCAATGTGCGATATGTGATATAATGCACATTTATAAGTATAATTAGAACAACTATAGTTGTACAGTGTCGCATACCATGGTACGTATTATTATTTTTTTTTCTATCTAATCGTTAAACCTCGATTACATTAAGATCGCGCGTTGTCTCGCTAACACGATTTTTTGATACCCGTAATGTTCTAGGACTCGTAATCCATATACGCCGCTGTTTCTAGATTAATTTTATATTTGCGATATAATTAATTGCAATTGGTTTGATACGCGTACTATATTTTGTGCATAACAATTGCGGTTAAATTTGAATAAGCGAAGGCTTCGTTAAAAGAAGCCCTAGCAATAAAATTATTCCCCTCCAACGTTTTCATTCAAAATAATACGAGAATTCTTTGAAAATCTTACTGAAAATATATGACGAAATTCAGTAAGAAATATTTTTAATGTTTCTTTTTATTATATAGGAATATCTGTGTTGCAATTTTGAAAATATTTATAAAAAAAAGCATCCCGGAAAAAACGAAACATGAAATCTATTCACATTTTTCTTCTTATTCTATATATATAAAAACAGATGGTATATTCTTATCGCAATAAAAACGACGTTGTTAAACACCTTTCCACCAACTTGAACTACAGCAAACGCACATTAAAAAAAACTATGGGATCAGACGTCTTATAATGACAAAAATTACAAAGGCATTAAGAAATCTCTATTTTATATCATTAACTTTTTTGGAAAGGATATAATCCACGGCACTTTGTTGCCTGGAAGTAGGAGGACAAACGTTTTCTTGTCTGAACTCTGTTTGAGAAGCTTATTCTATCTTATGTATACCAGATAAAATAAGCTTGAAAACGTAAAGTTTTTTTGAGGTATTATAAATATATACAAAAATACGATCTAAGACAGAAATGATTCTTTGAAGATAAAATTAAAGAGTTGGAAAGTAAACGTATTTCAAATTATTATCAAATGTATTCCTCTTTAAATACATAAATTCCTTATTTTTTCCTTCTTCCTACTTCCAAAGCGCGATGTGTGGCATTTGTTGTTCTAGTTCTAAAGTACTAGATCAGTTCAACATGTATTGGTTCATAAGACCAGGCGTAACGTCATTATCTCGCCAAGTCAATATATTAGAGGCTAATCGAGCCGTTTATTAATTTTTATCGCATAAAGGGCAATCGTGTCGGCATTAAAACGTTGATGTCTCGAACTGTACATTTTGTTCCTTTTTTTTTTTTAACAAATTCTTTCCTTGATTTCTCCTTAACTATTTCACACCGATAATGATTAATCGCATTTTTTCGTCTAAAAATTTCTATCTCTCTTACGAGTTTAACACATTCGTTAATCTGCTTATTTCTTTCCTTTTTTTTATTTTCCGCTCGCTAGAGATCAAAAAACATCGTATTCTTACTATACTTCTACGCGTAATTCCGTCCACGATACAACATGATCAACAACGATTCATTACTTTAATAATCTTTAATAGTATTTAAAAGATAACGTGATTGGTTGTCGCGTATCCAGTGCCGATGGTCGAAAAATGTACGATACGACTTGAGTTCGTCTCCCTGATGTCTCGTCGAGACGACGTCCGCCTACGAGTCTGTCCGTGTGAGCAAGAGTAACTTCCTTTCTTTATCGGTCGCCATCCCACGTTGCTTTTTCTTCTTCCGTGAGTAATCGTCTCCGTCGCTTCCGCGATTTTCTATCACATTCTTGAGCGGCTCGTAAATTAGCAGAGAACATGAAAAGTGTCAATTTTTTGGATGCACTCGAAAGTGAAGTCATGTCCTTTGTATCGTTTTTTTTTTGTGGTTGAAAAAAATATTTATCGTGACAGATCACTCGTAGTGTTTAGTATTGCAATATTAATTTATACATAGTATAATTGCTCAATTTTAATATAGCTGCCGATGTTCAGTGTCAGCTAAAATACGCCGCAGTGTTCTGAACAGAACAAGTGACATTAAAGTTACATGCTTTTTTCTAAGAAGAGAAATAAAAGCCCATTCTTGTATAGCTTTTGTTCTCGAAAACAATTTTTAAATGTCGGAAAGAAGTTACAATTATACTGTCGCGATAATAGTTTCTGTAATGGCATCGTTACAGAGAAGAAAAAGGATTGATGCGTGAAACATTAAAGCGTACGCGAATATTTGTGTGTTCAAAACGTAAGTATGTCTGCGTAAACTCGCGTTTATACGTGCGATGTAAGAGGTAACGATCCGTTTTCTCGGCACACATCCAACGGGAAATATACGTATTTTTCTTGAAACTCAAAACTTGCAAATCGTATTAAAAAATGTGAGATTTTTGGCTGTCCAGGTTCCATAATTTATATGAAATTCGGACAGTCAACTTGAAAAGTTAGTCGTCTAATTCTCGAAATATAGAGCCGTTTAATATCCTAAAATAAATATATATATATATATATATATGCGATATTAAGCTCGTATTTACACGATCCCGATAGCAAAATAGGGATCAGAAAATTGCATTCATCATTAAATGTGCGACGAGAATGCAGATTAATAACGAAACTATTTAAATTTGCAGATATGAAAAAAAGTACATCGCTCTCGAAACTGAATTTCTCGCAGCGGAAGTTATCGAACAATCGCAACCATCCTTTTTGCATTTGTCTCTCACGTCCGATTTTTGCATCCTTCCGTAGTGTCCTTCGGTTCTCTCTCGCGACCTACTCGAGAGAGTATTTTGTGTCACCGCCACTTAAATCGTAATACAAATCCTCCATTTATTAAGTCGTCGATTTTTACATACTAATGATACGGATAAGAAAAATTCACCTGGCATTATTTGAATCACCTTGGCAGTTCATCGTGTGTATTCTGAAAGTGTAACCTGTGCGTTTACCTTTAAAGCCCAACCCTTGTCCTGCTTTGTCCTTTTTATTCCTATTTGTCGTTTTTTGTCTCCTCCTCCCTTCATCATTTCGTTTTGTACGGACAAAAAAGAACCGTCGTGTCGACATTCTCGAGCGTTTCTTTTCGCATCTCAGTATAGACAAGGACCATCAACAGACATATAGTAATTCTGGAATTTCTTTAGGATATTACAGTTTACGTATTCTCGAAAACATCAGTCACACTTGAAAACTTTGATTTTATATCAGTGTTTTTTTTGTTCTGAGCGCACTACTATATTATTCATATTTTTCATTTATGTGTTAATTTTATGTCCCTTGAAATTGATATTTTTCAAAATTGATGCTTTTGGAGATTCTCGAATTTGGAGTCTTTATATGCGAATTCGTAGAAACGTTACGAAACTTGTCTGGACTGCCGTAAGAGTCTCTTAAACCTAGCAATATACTGATCCTCGGGTACATTCGAAGATTTCTATATCGTACTAACCTTGGGCCGCAGAAAAGTATTTTTAACTCATTGGCAAATCACGGTTCCGTGTGTATTAACGCTCTCGCATGATGTTACGTGCGTGTGTGTACGTGTTGTATGTGTGGTACATCCCCAAGTAGTAGTCGTGGAGGACAGAGTCGAATACTCTTTTTTGGATTCGAACGTTACTTATCTCTATGAAAATTCGTAATTGGATCTTTTATAGAACTAATTATTTAACTCGTTCGCGAGAAAATGTACCATCTCAACTGTACAAAGTGTTCGTCACATCGACTGCTCTCAGGGATGCGTGTAACAAACCAGTGTACGTGTTCTTCGCGTATACTGTATTCCCGCGTGTCCTTTGCTTCTTCACGCGTGTGCTCGCGCCATTTATAAACGGTGTGTCAACGTGTTTCGCTAAGGCGTCCTCGTGGGATAATTATATGATAAAATTTTACCGTTACTATTACGTAATTATTATTAATACTATTATCGTTATTCTCATTATCGGTAATGTTATTATTTTTATTTTTACTGGTATTATTATGTGTATCATAAAGAAACGAAGTTACTCCCCGTATTGCTTTCTTCCTAACGCGCAGGTCTCCGAAACGAAGCGGCGTGCGAACCCGAAGATGAGCACCCTTTAACCCGATCTGGCGGAAATCGGTTAAGGGCGGACGCTCGGTTAGAGCGTCGCGTGCGGCGTCCGTCGATGCCGGCGCCTGGCACGCAATCCTCGTCGGCCCCGGAACCACCGGCGGCAGACTGGCTTTTCTGAATCACGTGACGATAATATGCGGCGCTGACAGCAGGACGGTGATGGTAGCGATGATGGTGAACAGAGTAAAAATGATTAGGCACATCCTATCGATCACCATCGCCGCGAACTTCCAGTCGTTCGAGATCTTCGTGTTTTCATCCTCGCTCTTCAGTTGATTCGTTATCATCTAAAACAGAATTGTTATTTCATTCAAAACTGTATTGACTTTTAGTGAATATTGGCTTTTAGACAAAGATTTTTTGACTGATATTGAATTCTTTTTTCGTCATTTCCAAGTTTTAAACGAAAGATTTTCAACTAAGAACTTGGAACTTTGAGACTCTTCAAACAGATCTTGGAACATTGCAATCTTGGGGTTTAAAACATTGTGGCTTTCTGAGATACAATCTTGGGACTTACGAACCATCGGGTTTTATGTCTACTTTGAAACTTTAAGATCTCAGAACCTCAAAAGCTCAAAGGAGGCGCAACCCTATAGTCATAGAGGAGACTTTTTTATGGAGAGTGTGGAGCTTTCCACACTCAGAGCTTCTGTGGGTGTTGAATTCTACACTCAGAATTCGGGATATTTAGAAAATGTGTTAATCTTTGACAAATGTTTTAAAAAATATTGAGTAATTTGACAAAAAACAGTATTTGACTGGGGTTGTATGTAAAAATATATTTTCGCCTCTTTTAAATGAAGTACGCCACACACCCAGAAAAGTCAAAAGTCCCCGTCTCTGATCTCTGTTTACAGTTTTAGAACTTCCGGGATTTAGAAACTTAGACCTTTGAAATTAAATATTTAACAAAAATCTAATAACATCAAAATTAGAAAAGTCTTAGATTACTCTCTAAATTTCAATAAGTGAAATCTCACTCGAAGAGACTGAAAATTTAGCCTATCTTGAAAAAAGAATAAAAATACAACCATTCTTGAATTTAATTTTTCCCTTCTTTGGGGTCCCATTTATCCCGGTATTACACACCAGAAAAGGTATTCAGATTTCACTCCTTCGGAATGAATCTCGTTCCTAAAAAGTAAATCTCATTTTAAAAGGAGTGAAAATCTGCCACTCTTGAACAAGAGTGTCCGTATTTTCACTCTTTTTTCAATACAGGCTGAATTTTCAATCTCTTCGAGTGAGATTTCGCTTCATGAGATTTAGAGAGTACTCTTTCCGTTGTCGACTCGAGTTATTACCTTAATCTCCTTCAAGATTAGCACAAGCTCGTAACGAGCACAAAAGCACGCGTTCTGGAGTATCGTCTCGACCTGCGGCGCTGGCGCGTCTTGCGGATGTGGATGATGATGCGGCGTATGCGAAATCTGATGGGGATACGATGCATGCGGCAGCGGCGTCGCATGCTGATGGTGCGGCGTCGTGGGTGCGTGGCTATGATGATGATGGGGCGTCGTGTGTATGTGACTGTGGCCGTGACCCATCGCGTGCGCGTGATGAGGTCCGGGTGTGCTGTACACATTGTTCAGCAAATTGTTGTGAGACGCCAGCGCGTTGTCATCCAGGTCCAGGACGTTTGCCAAGAGGGACTTACTACTCCTCTGGTGCAGCTCTAGATCACCGTACGACTTGCTTGCACCTGGGGTATCCAAGAAACAGTTTATTAAATGGTTGACATCAGCAATGGATTACGACACGGCGATAACCCCTTGGAGGGTTGCCTTATAGCGCGAATCCGATTGGACGCACTCAGTGCGCACTGGTGCACATTAAAGCCGTCGTACACAAAATAACGTAAAGATATGTTTATGAATAAACATAAAAATCGATTAAATCGTGAAATACTCAATACATTTTATTGTACTATCTATAGGTAATATATGTATTTCATAATTCGAAATATTTGCATTTCATTTTTATATTCAAATTAAATCAGTGTACGGCTTTAATATGCACCAGTGCGCACTAGTGCTTTCAATCGAATTCTCCATTACATCTTTAAAGTAAATACCCGTGGAGCTTCAAAGGAATTAATAATTCAAATTAAGAAAGTTACACACAGAAATTATATATAATTATTAACACAGCAGATAAATGCATTATGCTGATACAGACCTCTTACATGAATAAGACTGTTAATGACAACCTATCTGATTTATAATCAATATCTATTTGAAATTTATTTACTAAGCAATTATTTACTCATCTACGATTTATTATTATTTATTCATCAGCTAAAAGGTTGCAACACTTTTTTTATGAGTTTCAGCTCTGCTCGTAGAGCGGTTGAATGGTCAGATTTATAAATAAGAACCAATTGCTCGGTAAACAAGCCAGAGTCCGAAACCCATCGGAAAGAAGTATAACCTTTTAGCTGATGAGTGCACTTAAAATTATCTTACCCGTGACAGGAGATGGCTTCTGAGACTTTTGTATTTCCTTGTCTTGTTCTTCCTGTCCTGGTCTTGACATACCGAGAATGCGAGGTAGCCAATACAGGAAAATTAATTTAACCTGTAATGCAATTCAGAAAATTTAACATACAGTCTAATTTATATTTCAATATTTGTATTATGTACTTAAGCTGTGTTCCAAAATTTACTGCCAGTACTGAAAATTTGTAGTGAACGTAACATAAACTATAGATTTTCAGTACTGGCGGTAAATTTTGGAACATAGCCTTATTATGTGTTTATGCTTATGTTTGTATAATAATATAATCAAATCCAATTATACGAAACAAAAGTTTGCGACTTTTCTGTTTTATTTTTAATAATAATAGCTCTTTTTAAATTTTTGCTCTGTCGTTTGTTTGGATCAAATTAATATAATATTAAAATATAATTGTGTCACAATAATTGTCATATTAATCGAATTAAATTAATAATTCTGATTAAGATTAAAAAAAATTTTCGTAAGTGTACATTCTTTTCATTTCTTTTTTTATTAAACTTCTTGACACTTTGTTATTGTGAATAATTCACGTTTGTTTAATTTAACTTAGATGCGTATGTTTCACTCGCAGAAATCTGATCGTGCGGGAAATCAATCTCCGAAATTTACATTCTAATTAACGTGACGTCCGGCGAAAAATTCGATTATACATGATTTATTATCGCAGTGCGCATTCGGCAGAGTGGCCCTTAATTATTCGCCCATAAAATTTCTGATTTATCCATGATGAAAAGAGAACAATGTATCAGCTTCGACGGCGGTGCGTTGCATTTTAATTAAAACCATAATTATCTACCGATACGTACGGAAATCATACAGCACCGGTGACGAATTGAATCAAGCTTCAACAAAGTTATTTTCGTCATTATTGTGCAAATAAAAAGAACGTTTACAAATTGTTTAACTAGACAATGCACTCTTCCAAGAGATTCACGGAATATTAATAAAAACCGATTAATTCTAAAAATAAAATAAAACAGATAAAACATAGATTAATTGATGAAATTAGCCGAATAAATAAGAAATTTTGAATACAATTTGATATATTTCTTTTGTTGATTTGAACTAATTTTTACATTACCAGATATTAATGTATTTGGTTTCTCCCGATTAACTTTATAACTGCCGGCAAAATAATCAGTCATTGCTTTTATCTCATTATCTCTCAACACGAATGTGTCATCAACGTTATTACTGAAAACTTATGTCGATAAATGTCGTTTAAATTTTAATAAAAATATAAACGAAATACGTTTTACAAATATGTTGAGAAAAGTTATATTTATGGTGCAGCAATGTTCAAAAAATAACTAACTAGCACAATACTAGCGATACTAATGAAGCGACGTAATTGTAATACTAAATCATAGTATTATATTAAGTGCTTTGATATCGATCGAAGAAAATTACCCATCGACCCATTTCATGGGAGTCAGCATTCCGATGATGATAATTCAAGATGAGGATCGTGCTGACCACACTACTGGCCACCATAAACATGATACAATTGAAATACGTCCCTGAAAAGTAACGAGAAATAAAAATACGATTTAAAATTAAACCAAATTAACAAACAATCGCATTTAATGTTTAAAATCGTTTAATGTTTAAAATTCGAAGCTATATTCATTAGTATTAATATTGTCCAGTTAATTTCCTTTTATCTGAACTTATAAAAGTATACATTTTTTATTTTTCAATATAATTGCATATTAAATGCAGTTAATAAAATTAACGTTTTTCTTAAAATATGTAATAAAATAAATTGCACTAATTTGTATTAAAATGAGCAATATTAAAGACGTACAATATTCTTATAAATTCTTTTAACTTTTAACTAATCAAAGAGTATTAATTGCATCAGCAGGTATTATACCACCGAGGAATATTGTCTTAGAAGAATACGAATATAAATCTTTGTTCATTTTTTTCCTCCATTTTTTCTTGAATGGTTCTCAATAGAACTGATCAATTACGCTGCTTTCTCATATTAAAATATTAATTACATTGAAAATTAGTTAAAACAAGCTCACCTAAAAGCGGCACGGCATCGGATGTCGCCGGCATTGTCTCGGCAACCATATTCAGGAACACAGTAAGGGACAGGAGGATGGTTACCCCTGCAAAAGAGGTTCGTTAGCTTCGATTAATTATTGTTAAAGTCGAATGCATCGAGGAGGCCAGGCGAGATCAACCCTTGGTCCTTGAACGCTCGAAGGGCCTTCAACGCATAACAATTCCATGCTAAAAGCTCTTCGATTTTCAGCCTAAGACGATATGATGATCTTCGACCTCGCCATATCAGATGGCATAAATTATTTACAATTCTATTTACACCCTTTAAGAAAATAATATATAAAGTTTTATGTTATAAAGAAAAATATCTTCTTAAAAGTAAATGACAATTTTGTTGATTCCTAGTTTCGATTTGATCTTGAGTAAGAAATTTCAGAGACCGTTTGTGTGTACTCCAAGTACTTTAAATATCCGATACTCAGGCTTTGAACTTGGTACCGCTCACTCGCGAATCACCGTGTCGCATTAAGAGGCACTTTCAAATTATTTAGACTTTCAAAACGCTACGGCATTCACGGCAGATGCCTCATTTGAATATCAGACCTTACTCGAGCTTTTTTGAGACTCACGATAACATGTTAAGAGTTGCTTTTAAGTCTCGTAGAAACGCGAAAGTCAATTGTGAATGAGTTGTATTGCCTTCTTTCTGTCTCATTTCATTTTCTCATGAAATAGGACGTTTTAAATTCTTACTTTGTATTGGAAAACTTGCATTACGTCAATATTGTGGTCAATTAAGGTGATAGATAATTATAATCTAAGTAAAATAAAAGTTTAAGAGATTACGTCTTATAAAGAGAAAGTGCGATTAATTAAACGATCTAATATTAGACGATGCTCTGTACCTTTAATCCTTTTTATAATATTAATTAATCTATTTCTATATATTTTTAGTAGAAAAAACTATGCAAATATAAAACTTTTAATGCATGGTATTCTTGTCTGTAAATCACTGTTAATACTGAGCCGGCAACTGTAATGCGTCTATGTAGAGCCAATTTTATTGTATCTCGATCTACGAACAACTATAAGCTTTAAGGAAATTTGCAACGGAGACATCTGCAATTGTTCGGCATTGTCATTCCATTGTCGTCGTATCTTCGCATCGGTGACGACGATTGTCGCGATCGTTTCCGAATTCGATGGAGATTCAGCAACGCGCTTGTACGCTCGAAGAAACTCTACGACCTGAATAGAAGGCTTGCCGAAGTTTGCGCGCCGGGGCGCCATTTCAATCGGGATCGAAGCGAAATCTAATCGCATAAACGCTCGATGCGCTTAGGGAACTCCTGCACCTCGGCTCTAATCACAAGAGCGTTTACACGGCAGCGCGAGGTGAGGCAGGCAAGGAATCGGAATTATGCAGCCGAACGATTCGAGCCGTAAGAGGCAGGATTTCACCCGAGCATCCGGCTTCTCGGTAAATTCCAGAACGACCACGCTTATGAGGAAACAATAATATGTCATGGATAGCATCAACGCAATCTTTCTATATCTACAATTGCAATGTTACAACTACGCATGTTAGAAAAAGTCTAAAAGCGCTTCATTACGTTGCATACTGTTGTATTTCATCAGACATTTTTTGTTAGAAAAATTATTAGTTAAATTATAACATTAATTATCATCAATCAATCACTTGCTATTTTTTGATCACGATAACTTTTTATTCGCTTAATTCTAAATTACATTTATGATCTATATTTTAAGAAAATAATCCAATTGAGAATGCCAAAATTAAATAGAACGTGTTAAAAAGTAATTATAATTAATTTTTAATTTATCTACAATTGTAGACTTACAATTATGTATGCAAAAAAAATCTAAAAGCGCTTGATTACATTGCATATATTGTTGAGATTTCATCGGATATTTTTTGTTAGAAAAATTATTAGTTAAACTACAATATTAATTATCATCAGTCAATCATTTGCTATTTTTTGGTCGTAATACTTTTTTATCCACTTTAATTCTAAATTACATTTATGATCTATATTTTAAGAAAATAATTCAATTGAGAATATCAAGATTAAATAGAACGCGTTAAAAATTATTATCAATTATTAATTTATCTATAATTATAATGTTACAACTATATGCGAGAGGAAGTCTGAAAGAGTTCGATTACATTGAATACTATTGAGAGATTTCATCGAACATTTTTCTCCTAGAAAAATTATCAGCTAAAATATAATATTAATTACCATCAATCAATCATTTTTAGATTGTGATAATTTTTCATCTTACTTTAACTGTATAGTATATTCACGATCGATATTTTGAAAAAAAAATTCATTTGAGAATGCTAGGATTAAAAGTAATTACAGAAATCGATTCTTAATTTTTTCTAATAAAATAAAGATGATGAAACTATTTTCTTTATTTAAATTTATATATTTTTTTTATTATAAACAACTTTTCCTCAAAATATTTCTGCAAACGTGTCACGTATTTGTAGTTTCTGTGCGACATGCACACATCTTGTGATAGTCGACTATTCTCTATATAAATGCGTAGCAATGTAAAGTTACAATCGGAATTTGTACTCAATAAATCAAGGTTTCGTGAAGTGTAATGAACTTTTGTTGGTATAAATTTCCACACGTTGAAATGTCGATAAAGTTCCGCGGTCCACGAATGCGAAAGAAACTCGTGACGACACGGTACAGAATAGTTTCTTCACGGTGCCCGGATGCGGGAGCGCCTGCCAGCCGGAACTAGGTCGGGTCTAATCGTGCAAACGTCTGATGCTCTTAGCAAACAGGGACGTGCCTAATCGCGAGAGCGTTTACGGGCTGTCGGGGGCAATCGGAGTTTTGCATCGAGTTTAAACTTACCGAGGGAGAGTTTCTCGCCGGAATCGGGCGGCAGGGTGAACCCGAGGACGGCCATGCTGGCAATCAGGACGCACGGCACGATCAAGTTGAAGAAGTAGTAGAGTGTGCGTCTTCTGATGATGACGACAAAAGTGATGTCTACATACGGTTCTGGGCAGCAGTTGTAGTAGATCTCATTTCTCTTACCGGGTACCCCTGAGCAAGATAAAAGGAAAAATTTATATCACGGTAGCGTTTCGCGCCAAGTGCATCACACTTTACACGAATATAACGTTTAATTCTAGTCTTTAGAATGCAAGCGAAAAGTCAGAAACATGGATGCAGTGCATAATTTCCATGAATTTTCTCTAAATATAAAAAGCATAAAGATTATAAATACTCATATATAATTATCAAAATTACAAAATGTTTTCGTTCTATACATATAGACATAATTTAAAAATATAATTCATCCATGCATATTTAATTGACAGTTCTAACAAACAATAAACTAGAAATTGTTGCCAAATTAAAATTCTCAGGTAAATATTCCATCCGAATAATGGTTAAATATGACATCGTACACGTATACGGGCAATCGACGTACTGTCAATAAAACGAAGTGCTTTCTCGAACGTAACAAAAGGTTGTTGGAAGCGAAAAATTTCTCTTTTCTGCTCCTTGAATTATCCCGTGCAACAGGGCAAAGAAAAACGGAAGATTCTATCTTACGTTATTCCTCCGGGTACAAACTGGTGCGCTTTGCTGCAGCTGCAGTTACTTAAGATACATTTCTACCACAAGTCTCATAACCGCGGCTCGTACATTGCACGTATACGTCGACCTACGCTATTCCCACGCGTAATGCATCGTACAATTTTTCGAGAGATACACGAGATACGCCAAGAGAGAGCAAATGCTTTTATTTCTGCGTTGGAGGAACAATAAAGGTGCCACATCATTTCTTACGTTTACGATAAATTTATCAATGGCGAATTACACATAATTGGACAATATATCATAATTGTAATGCAATCTCTCTCGCAATTATGAGAAAGAAACACAAACCAGATGTTTCTATCTTTGCTCTACAATTCCAATATGGATATTGCGTGAGTTCCGTGTATAAGTTTATTTTCAAACCATTACATTATATGTAATTGAACAATGGATTACGATTACAATTTTTTTTTCAATAATGCTAATTGGAAGTTCTTATTATCAAAAATGTTATTAACTGAGATCCTTTATCATTATTTTATTTTATTAATCTTCATAAAATATATATTATTTTACATTTAAATTTTGTAATAAATTATTCATGCATTTATTGAAAGCATATTTTGAATTCAAAATTAATCTTTAAAATGTAGATCAATTTCACTTTGTGTGAACTATTTCTTTAAATATACTTATATAGATATAGTAGGTTTCAATATACGAAAACTCATTTCATATAAAATATCGAAATAAAACGCAAAAACATATCATTCATATATATAAGATTTACACATTTGAAAATTCCTTCTACATATTCATAAGTCCGATACTGCAAATCTAAAAGCTTTCGTGTAGCTGCTAAAAATCCATCAATTATTTTGTATATATCAAGAATAAAACAAGCTGCCCAATATAACAGTATAAACATCTGGAAGGGAAAGATCGTAATTTAAATCTGCCCTTCGATTCTCCAACGATTATTCAGCAACTATCACGAACTATTATTCGCTCCTCGAATCAAGCAAGCAGCAATTTCTCTCGCGACACTTTACCGATTGCCCGACGTGTTCGCCAGCGAAAACACTAAACTTCGGACGCACGCGGAGCGAGCCGTAGCGTCCCGCCTGACCCAGATGCAGGCAATTTTGACAGGGACAAAGTGAGGATCAATACCGGTTCCGATTTGCGAAACGATTGATCATCCGCCCGTGGCCGTGCAAGACTTTAGAATTGCTAATCGGCCGGGAATCACTTTCGGCGCCGGGGCAAACTACCCGGGCGTGGCGACGTGAACGGTTCCCGATAAGGACTGTAAAAACTCACCCAACAGATGCCACTCGCCGTTAGTGATGAAACTGCTGATGTCACCTCCGGACTCGTCCTGCAGCTGCAGATCCAACTGTCGACAATTTATGACAGTCGATTAGAGGAAAGTTATTGCAACCGCGCCATGTAAGACGACTGTTTCAAAAGCTACGAAAAAGTCTGTTCAACGGTATGGCAAGGACGCAAAAGTTGTCAGCTTTTCTTTAAAAAGAATATTTTACTACATAAAACTAAAACTCTCTTTACGCTATACTTTTCAGAGCACTTCTAATATTTGAGAATTAATTTACTGCAATTTAGTTTTTCTCCTCAAATTTTATATTATTAAATACATGTACCATATTTTCTAAAAACTTTTAGAAATATCATTATTTATTTGTATAAAATAATTGACACAAATAGCATAAGTTTTTCAGAATTTAATAATAAAGCAACAAAATATATCACATGTGAATAATATTTTTTATTCTATTCTGTTGATTTATAGACTTCATGTAGTTTTGTTGATGTTCATGTGAATTCATATATGTATGTTTACGTAGCTCTATATAAAGCTTTCGCAAACCTTCCGCGATTTCTGCCCGTTTGAATATCGATGCAAACTTTTTTTGTGTGACATTCGGGAGCAATCTATGACGAATTAATATCTGGGGGCGAATTGTTATAATAAATGGAAATGGAGACGATCTCAAATCGAAAAGTCTGTTTTGCATCTCGTTCGTATTCAGCGGATCGAACTGAGCTCGAGAAAATCTTGGCATATTCCGTTGTCTTACTTTCTTTTCTCTTCGTTTGTTTCCATTTTGTTCTGCTTATTGTCCTCGTTAATGAACTCCTGAGCGTTCTCGAATTGCCTGGCACCGTGTAATTCGCATCCTCAATTTTAATTATTCCGAAGTTGCACGTTCAACAATTGAAGACTTACTAGGTATGTACATTGGTCGTGTGGCAGAAATACACGTTTACACGATAAATCGGTATACATAAATTGCACCCGACTATGAAACTTTTGTAGTTAGCAAAGTTATCGTTACCGTAATCGGACAACATTAGCGTGCCATACAGTTGCACATCTATTGTAACACAAAACATAGTTTTTAAATAGGACATTTTACCGCTATAATTTTGAATTAATATTACTTTATGAGAAATATCAAGAAATCGACACATCATGATAGACTTTTTTATCTCTACTTCTTTTATAAAATAATTTTATAAATTGATATTTTCACGTAACTACTTGTTATCATTAATTAATTAATCTAAACAACAATTTATTTTATTTATTTATCAGTCTTAACTCAATTTATAAGAAGAGATAATTAAAAAGTTACATATATTTTTTTATTTAAGGAAAATTTCTTTAAGAAAATGTAAGTCTTAATATATTGTATTATATAATTTTGCTTTTGCGATACAAAAACACTAAAAAAAATTTCTTCCTTATGGAGTGAATTGGATTATACGAATAAAAGGTAGAGAAACCGCGTGTTTTTTAGTGAGAGACCCGAATATCGCACATTCTCACGTTCATTGTCTTCTAAATGCGTCTTATGATTCGTAAATTTCCTGCGATTCACTCTCAAATGGCATTTATCATCCCAGTGTTTCGACCAAATACCAAGGGCATTTTACGCTTATGATGATATTTTTGAAGTGTACTTATAGAAATCTGGTGTACAAACCGCAGGTCTCAAATACATATTTTCCTTAAAATGTTTTAACATTACGCGCATATTTTTCGTAAAATCTCTTGATAAAAGAAATTGATAAAATATAAAATAAGAAAAGTTAGAAATTTTTATGAATGCATTATAGCTTTAATTTTTATTATTCCTATTCAATCATATTAACTATATTCTGTATTTTAATGAAGAAAATGTTAATTAAGTAAATGCGTTTTTATACGAGTCGTTTGGTAATAGATTTGCTACTCTTAAAGGTTAAAATAATTAGTCTCCAACAAAAGTGCTGTGCAAACATTAACGCGAAAAAATTTAATATTTAAATAAACAGAAATTATTTTAAACTGTGACCCATTAAAAAAAATAGAAATTTATGAATAATAAATTTTTTAAATAGAATTTTAATCTAGCGAAAGATGTAAATATCAAGATATTCAAAGACAAATTAAGTAAAATCGGCAATATATGGCATCCCACCACGTTATTTGTAAATTTCTATTTTTTTTTAATGGGTCACAGTTTAAAATATATAATTTCTGTATATTTAAGTATTAAATTTTTTTGCGTTGATGTTTGCACAGCACTTTTGTTGGAGACTAATTATTTTAACTTTTAAGAGTAACGAATCTATTATCGAACGACACGTATAAAAATGCATTTACTTAATTAACATTTTTTTAATTAAACAGAATATAATTAATACAACTAAATATCATACAATAAAGAGAATAATTTTTTTACTAACAATATATTTATGCTTTTTATGAAATTACTTTGTACAGACTTTTCTTGCTCTTGCTTCAAATAATTATTCAACATTATTCACAGATGAACGAGAATCGCAATCCCGGGAATGCTATCCCACCTTGCATCAGAGATGGTGGGAAATGCGCCTCCATTACGCGATCCGAGTACTTTACTCAAAGCTCCATTCTTAGGAATTTCACGAATCGTTCTCGCAAACGAATCTTACATTGGCAAACAGTGAAGATTTTCTATTTCTTACTCTCCTTCCCCTTTCTCACTTTTCTCTCTCTTACTGTTTTCCTCTTTCTCTTGTTCTTAGACGCTAATCAAACTGCTCGACGCCGTCGCTTTGAATTATTTCCGGGTCTCCAGACCATACCGACGGGAAGTACCGACGTGCTTCCGACAGATTGGAAAATTCGTAAGTTCGACGTCTGTCGAAGAAGGGAACATTGGGACAGGATGGATCGGAAAACGACGACGATTGGTTGACCCAATTCCGTAATGCATATCCCCTATACTCACCTGAGAGCCGTCGTACGTCCAGGAACCGAATTTCATCTCGCAGCGCTGATCGTCAAAGGGAAACCAGGTAATGTCGATCTTGCAAGTACTCTTGAATATACCGGGCGGCACGTACATACAGGTCCCATTGTTCTTTACGACAACGTTCGTCGGGTAAGTGCCGTCGAAGCCCTCGTCGGCGCTATAACGAACAATCACGTTAATTTTTCAATCTTGAAATGCAGCGAGTCGAGGTAATCGGCACATTTGATGGTAAAAATAAAAAATTATTTATATTGTTTTCCGCATTCTAAAACAAAACGTTTGAGTCTTTCCGCTTTATTTACGGGACTGTGAAATTACATATATATTTAGTTATCAACTCAAATTAAAATTGTAGACATAAGTATTTTATATCACTTTTTTGTTGTTTTATATTTGCTATTATTTTTATTTTCCCCATATATGTATGAAGGTTCTCTTTCATTATTAACGCAAGTCCATTTCATCATAGACATAGTCGTTTGTTTAATACTATTATGTTATACAATTCTCGTGATTGAGAACGTTCGTAGACTCATGTGGGACGTCTATCTTTCTATACTCAGGAGACTAAACAATATTGGGGAACACGTGAACAGAACCTAACACCAGAACACTGATGTCCCCAAAGTAAACCCGTCGGTTTATTCCTTCCCTGCAATAATTTAGAGACAATTCGGTTGTCCCTAATGTTGCTCCTTGTCACGAGAACAGACAATGACTCCCTACCTTCTATAATAACTACTTCGAGCAATTCATTCGGTTGAACTCATTTATATTTATTTTGAAACTAAAATAGTAGCATAATTTTCTGATTTTAAAATCAATTCTATAATTTAATAAAGGTGCACGAATTTAGCTGAAGATTATTAAATAAGATAACAAAAAACCCATTATAAATCAATACTAATGACATAATTTCAGTTACATAAATAAATAGTTTCGTAAATTGCATCGAATTTAAATAGACTTTTTTAGTAGAGCCGAACTTATATCTGTTTTAAATATTCGAATATCAAATTCTAATACTATACAGACGTTGGCATAGCGATTTAGATTTATTAAATATAGTGCTATCGATGATCAATCACCATGACGGAATTTCGCTATACACGTTTGAAAAATATGTTGATAATAAACGGTCGACATAAAAACAAACTGCTATCGTAACTACAGAGTAGCATTTAAGTGTGTAGTATATCTTGACATCTCGAGCAGTAAAATAAATTACCGCGAAGGTAAACGTTACTCTCTTCAAACGTTACTTGTGGCGATATTCTTCAAAATTTAAATAGCGTATTCTCGTAAAACTTTTTTACGAAAAATTCAATCTCTCTATACAAAGATTACAGTCAAGTTTTCGTATTTTTCCCAAAATTGCACGCTGAAAATATAAAAATACTTTTGAATAAACTGACTTAAGAGACTATAAATATTCTATATGTATTTAACGTGAGAATAAGAATTTGTTGTTTTATAACACTTAGATTAGCATTTAAAATTTGTGTTATATCTCAACATAAAAACTGTGATTAGAAAAAAATTATGAATGTGTTTATGTGTGTAAATTATCGATAAATAAATTAATAATCGTTTATGTAAAATGTTAAGATAATGTATTCATTAAAATTTTTACAGAAAAAAAAATATTCTCTGGTTATATTATCCGATTATAATTATCTAACTAAGATGTTAATTAAATAGAAATAAATTATCGTACTCCTTGAATTAGTGCAACTTACGACAACGATGAAATCTTGGTACGTTGCATTAAAGCAGACTCGAATAGACTAGTGGGAGCTAATTATGGACGAGTCTACCCCAAGCCTTTGACGTCCTACCTCGCTTGTCTTACACCCCGTTCGATTCCGTTCCATTTGCCTTAACTAACAGGAACAAACGCCAACTTTTTACATGCACTCGGACGCGAATTGACGCGATACTTATTTTTGCAATTTTTTCCAGCGAGCCGACTTTTCTTTTATTGTAGGGAAAATCAACAGCCTTTTGTCATAACTTTAACAATTATTTGAGCAAACTGTGTGATACTAGGCTTGCAAAATAATGCAAATGAGGCAAACCAATACTTACTTGTCAATTATTTAAACAACATTCGTGTTCCAAAAATGATATATCAATGTCATTTCTATTATTTCATTAGTACCACTGATTGTATATTAAAAAACGTATAAAATGCGAATAATGCTTAAATTAAATGCTTAGATTAAATGTTTTTTATTTAAAAAATGTTCAAATGTTAAATTTTAATAAGAATCGATGCGCATGTTTTTGTTGAAGAAATGTTTTCATGTAAAACTGGTTCTACATTAATCCCAAGTTGATCGCAAGCTTGTTGCGACAGTTAATTTGAAGTGTCAGTTTTAAAATTGACGCTTCAGATTGACTGTCGTAATAAGCTTGCGATCGACTTGTGACTAACGTAGAATCAGCTTAACATGTAACCAGAATATTTTTCCGTAATAACGGTTTATGTAAGAAAACTATTATATTCAAATTATTTGTAGCAAATATTAATTTATTTTTTGTTTCTTCAAGTTTTAGAGAACAATTTTCTTCTGTATATAAAACATTATGGTAATAACATCTTGGAATAATTTTTCTAATAATTTTTCTAATAATCACGAATTATTTAATTATTATCTAGATTTTTTTTCGAATCGATTAAACCTGTTATTCTACTGCCATTGCGATAAACTTTTATTTGTTAAGAACTTTCTTTTGATCGTAACGATGCAAAAAAGTATAACTACGCCAAGTATACTATACAAGACATACTAGACCGAGATAGGATAGCTTAATTAAATTCTTTTTCATCATGCTCCTTTAACTTGTGGCTTGATTACTACTTTGGCTTAGAGTTATCCAGAAGTTTTAAATTTCTTACAAATTCTTCGTGATGACTGGCTTTCCGCTTATTTAATAATGCAAATAAGATTTTAGAGCAGAAAAAGTTGAACGGTGCTGCCTATTGAAGTGAATTTTTAAATCGACATGATAATAAAAAATAACAAAAATGTTAGTTCATGTTAAATTTAAATTAAATCCTGATTAAAGCAAAAAAATGTGATTATTTTTACCCTCAGGCTTACAGAACGAGAAATTTATTTTCGATAGTTTGACATTACAGTAATAATTAGATAAATAAATAAATATGCACAATAGCATTTGAAATTAGGATAAATTAATTAAGTAAGTTGTATATTATAATAATTTGTATATTAAGTTCTATATTAAGTAGAGAGAACCTGTCTTTATTTTCATCAAAACAAAGAGAAAATTTTATTATGTTGTGGACTTAGTTTTCCGATAATATGCGCCATATCTGTTTTCTTTATTTAATCAAGCGTACATGAACTCACGAGCTTGGAGAAAATATTTGTAAGAAGGGATGTTGCGCTCCAGCCACGTTACATCCTATAAAATAGAATATTCTACCTCGAGTGCGTGCCTTGTATGATAACGAAAAGGATGTAACAATAAGAGAAATTCTCCTGCGGAAGTATCGAAGCTCAAGTTTCGTAGCATTGTTGCATAGTTTACATTGTATCATTTTTATGTAATCTTAAAATAAACTAAAACCTGCATTACTCGAAAAAACGAAGAAAATATTTCCATTATTAAAATTAACATGAGACATTGTTCACCTTGCAGTTTTTTGCATGACAATGTGAATATGTGATAATGAAAAGAAAATGCTGTATAAGATTCTAATTTGTGATTCTTTGACATTATATAATATTATATTTTTAATAAGCCATTATCTTCCACACTGTTCTGTTTCATATCTGAAATATAAGTGCACTTACATATATTTTCTAAAAGGAATCAAATCTTCTTTTTCATATATGACTGACATATCAGTGACATATACTACTGACGCGCTCTTTGAGTTTGAACAAGACTGATTACATACGCATTTATTATATTTTAATTAATGTATCGGACAATTAATGTTAAATGTAATCTAATTAGTGCTCGGAAACATCAGACGATTTGACAGTTCGGGCAGTTCGAACGTTATATAGTTCAGACTGAATGTGTGTTCGAACTATTTTAACCCACTTCAGAGCTGAAAGTTCGAATTTATTACATTTCGAACTCAGACATAACAAGTCGTCCTCAGGATCAACCTGAATATGACTGAATATGACGCGACTTTTTCTTTTTGACATTTTTGTAATGTTTGTATATTCAAGTCTCGTGAAAAACTGCTCTTTTGTTTCCAAAGGCATTACTATATTTGTGTGGCGACTCGCCACTAGAGGTCCACGGTCACTCAGTTCGCGTAAGCACCGCGCCACGCGAATTCCCTTTAAATAGAATATCATGCTGGATTCATTCCAGGCGTCTAAGGCAAGTCCCACACTACATCTTTACTGATGAGTCTAGTAGTGTGGTGCCAGGACGAAACGCTGCGGCCGACCACAAAGCTTCGAGTCTCCTTAGTGGACAAAGGCCTCCTTAGTGGACATTTCCACATTTGTTTACTGTCCGAACCGTCCGAACTTCAGACATAACGAATTGACATTTCGTACTGATCACTGCTTTATGCTCAAACTATTCGAACTGTCCGAAATATTCGAATTAGATGCTCATTTTTTTCAAACACTTCGAATTATTCGAATAGATCGAATATTCAACATGTTCGAATCTTTTGTCTGAGCCCCAATCTAATTGTTATTTGGAATATAAAATCGTCTTAATAAAGGATAATAATTTAGAATTTATAATTGTAACATTTAGTTATTACAATTTAATTTTTAGTTTACGTTAGATTTTAAGTATATAATTGCTTCGCTTCTCATGTTCAGTTAAATGTTAAATTTAGCTTGATTTTACTTGAAATAAATTTTTCAAACTTCGCATTTCAAGATATAAAAATCCATTCTGAATAATTTACGTAACACGTTCATAAGGCCAGATTCAAATAATGATCATAAACGCGAGTCTACATTTTTATTTCGCTTGTGATAAAATTTGTAATTTAAATAAGATGGCAATACTACCTCATATAATCTTGCAAGAAAAATTTTGTAAGCATAGAGCTTTGACTATACTCTTTAGCAACTTCAAGAAATGCTCCACTTAATAGTGAGAAGAGGTAACCGCAGATTCTCTCACGAATACTTAATGAAATCA